GAGGGACAGAGTAGCAGGAGTGGAAGTCTGGGGATCATGCTTTCAGGGGACATCTAGGTCAACTGGCATAACGAAGTTTATTAAGAAAATGTTCTGCATCCTTCTTTGGTGAGTGGCGTCTGGGGTCTTAAAAGCTAGCAAGCAGCCATCTAAGATCCATCAATTGGTCCTAACCAACCTGGAGTAAAGGAGAATGAAGAACACCAAAGTCACAAGGAAAGCATTATCCCAACGGACAGTAAGGGCCACATAAACCAGGGACTGCAACAGTCTGAAACCAGAAGAACTAGATGGTGCCTGGCTACCACCAATGACTGCCCTGACAGGGAACGCAACAGAGAGTCCCTGTTGGAGGAGAAGAAACATGGGCTGCAGAATTCAATTTCTAGTAAAAAGACCAGACTTAATGCTGTGACTAAGACTTGAAGAACCCCAGAAAGCATGGTCCTCAGACTGTCAACTCAGCACTAAAACCATTCCTGAGGCCTGTGGGACTATGGGACATAAAATGATACTCGTGAAGAGTGTGCTTCTTAGCTCAAGTAGATACATGAGATTAAATGGGCAGCTCCTATCTGGAGGTGAGATGGGAAGGCAGAGAGGGTCAGGAGCTGGTTGAATGGACAGAGGTAATCAGGGGTGGAAAGGAGGAGTGTGCTGTCACAGTATAGGGAGAGCAATTGGGTCACATAGCAATGTATGTATAAATTTTTGTATTAGACACTGACTTGAATTGTAAACTTTCACTTAAAGTATAACAATAAAATAAAAAATTTAAAAAAAAGAACTCTAAGTCTTAGGAAGAATTAGCCTGATGATTTCTTTAACGGTCAATACAAATCATGTAACAGAGAATGTCTATATTTTTGCTATGACCATCAGAAAGATCAGACGAATCTGTGTAGTATTATTGAGTCTGAACATTTTTGCAAAAAACTTTGTCCTGATATTGATGTGCTCCCATATATTTTCCCTGATGTTGATTTTCATAAATTTCTACATTTCCATTCTAACCTACTGACCCTTAAAAATCTCACATAAGACACTGTAAACAGGTAGGGAATAAAAAACAAACAACTCACCTGAGATCTGTTCATTTTCTGCTGCTCTAGGGAACATGTAGAGAACTATGAAAGTGGAGCTGAGGGGTGAAGAAAAAAAGAATGAGATCACACAAGACCTCTGACCCGCCTTGTACCTCCTGGATTCTCCTGCCTAAAAAGCTCCCAATACCAACGTTTCCTGGACACAACCAAACATCTCACAGGATTGGTCTACTGGGTTTGAGGGCTTAGGACCATAGTCTTGTGGGGCAACTCAGTCAACTGGCATAATATAGTCCATAAAGACAATGTTATACATCCTAGTTTGGTGAGTAGCATCTGGGGTCTTAAAAGCTTTCGAGCAGCCATCGAAGATACAACTATTGGTCTCTACTCATCCAGAACTAAAGACGAAGAAGAAAACCAAAGACTCAAAGAAGAAACTAGTCTACAGAACCAACAATGACATCACCTACCTGGAGACGAGAACTAGTTGGTACTTGGCTACCCCTACTGACTGTTCTGACCAGGGTCTCAATAGATGATCCCAGATAGAATCGGAGTAAAATGTAGAACAAAACTCAAATTCCTAAAAAAAGGCCAGACTCACCGAACCAGTAGAGACTAGATGAACTCCCGAGATCATCACCCTGAGATACTCTTTAAACTCAGAACTCAAGCCACTCCCAGGGGTCACCTTTCAACCAAATGACAGATTGGCCCATAAAATAGGTATCACCTGTGAGTACTATGGTCCTCAAAATAGTCATCTGTGTGAAACCAAATGGTTAACATTTGCCCTAGACCAAAGATGGGAAGGCAGGGGGCTGGGGGGAAGACAGGCAAGCTAGATTAACAGAAACAGAACAACCAAAATGGAAATAATGAGAATGCTGATAGACTGAGGAATGTAACCAATGTCACTGAACAATATGTACAGAACTTGTAAATGAGAACCTAATTCCCTGTGGAAACTTTCATCAAAACCACAATAAACATTGAAAAATTAAAAAAAAAACTCCCCACATCAGCTGGATAAAATGTCCTCCTGAAGGAGAATATCCTTTGGCCCTTGACTACCTTGGCAGCAGTTTTTCAATCTTTTGATAAAAACTGGTTTGACTTAACTACGTCAGCAGACCTGACTAACAACGTGATGATCTGGGCTTCAGTGTTTTTCATCTTTCATGTTAGACAGAAATAAGTAATCCAGGAAGCTCTTTCCTGCACTACCTTCTGAGTCTCTAATTTCCTGCACTACCTTCTGAGTCTGTAAGTCAGGATGGAGCAAGCGCCACCCACGTCTCTCAATGTTGCATGTGGTGAGGGGCATAGTATGAGGGTCCCTCAGGATCTGGAAAGAGTGGAGAGTGTGAAAGGAGTCAGGGGCTGCTAGGGAGGTTTGAGATAGAATTTCCTTAGCTACAGGGGCTATTTCTTTACACCAGACAAGCTCTCTCAAACCTTCAACCCCTGGGCAAGACCTGTCCCTTGCCTTAGCCCCAGCTCACCTCTCTCTTCTGAAACTTGGCTCAAATTCCCCATTGTCTTACAGCTTGGGGTGGCTTCTGGAGGTGAGTACAAGGATCAGAAGTTGCTTCTAGGCGTGCAAATCTAGGGTCTGCTCTTTCTCAGCCTCCTCCTCCTCTGCTCTGGTGAGAGGTCTCAGCTCAGATGGGCGATCTTCCAGGTGGGATTCCTGCTCCTGAGGAGCTGCTTTGTTCCTGGGAACCTGGACCTGGACCTAGGGGACAAAATCATTTGAATTGGAACCTACATCAGGGCCCCAAATGTTAGAATTCACTGTGCCCCCGGAATCTTGGATCAGTCCTTCAAAAAACTCAAATCAGGACCACTGAGAACACACAGGCAGGGCAGCTTAGACCAGGCCCAGGCCTCTCAGTTACGAAGTGTGGCCCAGGAGCCCTAACAGACACCAAGAAGCGCAGAAATACAAGTGCCACAAGATAAAATGGAGTCCATATGATGATGTGAAGTATATAATGCTGGGTTTAGGCGGCATCGTTTTTTAGAACAAGTATGAAATAGGGGGCAGCCATATCTGGATGTGAGTCCTAGCTGCTCTCCTGCGGGCTGTGTGCTCATGAGACACTCACTCTGCCACTCTGATCTCCGTTTCATTTGTTAAAACGGGGCTATCCCTACTTCACCCCGTGGTCAATGCAACCCGTCACTAGAATATTCAGAACAAGCGCTGCAAACATTACCGGGGCTTTACTAACGCAGCGCCATCTCCCTACGCGCAGAAGGCGACAGGCCGGGACCCACACGCGCGAGGCGTGGACCCACCGCGGTTCGCGGGGGCAACCCGCAGCATCCGCTTCGCCGGGCCGGGATCCTAAACGGGTCTCGCCCCACCCATCCCCCGCCCCAAGCTAGGTTTGCACTTCCGCCGGGGCCGCAGCACCGACACCCGCCCCGACGCCCCGCCGGTATCAAAGCTGCACGCAAGACCGGGCATGCGCGGGAGTGCCCGTCCCCCACCTCTCGCCTGGCGCGTGCCAGGCACCAAGATGGTCCGTTTCCCGTCAGGCTCCGCGGCAGGCGCCTACACCTCCCTAGCGGGAGGCGGAGCCGGAGCTACTTCTGCCAGATCCGGCAGGGGGCGCGTCAGGCTGTTTCCCTTGTGAGCAAGATGAGAAAACGTAAACGCTTAGAGCGGGAACCGGCAATTTAAATGTTTGAAAAGAAACACCCGTGACAGCAGGGCTTCTTCACGGCAGTTGTTTAGTGCTAGAAATATATACCACTTTCCTAAATGGAAAGACGCAATTTTTTAATCCAAATGTCAACAAGGTTTTTTTTTTTGTATGTTTTGCACTTTGCTCTTTTATTTTGTACCATTGTTTTTTAATGTGATTTAATTGTAAGTTTATATAGTTAAATTTTTATCAATGGCTGCGTTTAACAACCAGCAAAATTCCTGAAAATTGATCACTTGGCTCTCAGGAATACAAGCCAGTTTCAGCACCAAAAAAAAAAGTTGCCGCGGAATGGATGTCAAGACTCAGGGCACTTCCCCTAAGGCTCCCCTGGGTGGACTGGAACCAGGAAGGTTTCGGTTAGCAACTTAACGGTTTGTGCCACCCACGGACTTCAGTTTTAACAGACACCTCCTCTTTGCCAAATATTGTAAATGGTTATTTTTTAGCTTATTATTTTGAAATAATTATCAATTCACAGGAAGTTGTGAAGATAGTACAAAGAAGTCCCGTGTACCTTTACCCAGTTTCCCTCATTGTTTACATTTTACATAACTATAGTACAATAAATATCAAAACTAGGAAATTAATGTACAATCTCAGACTCTACCTACTGAATCAGAACGTGCATTTCAGCAAGATCCGCAGGTGATTTGTATGCAAAATAAAGTTCCAAAAACTCTGAAACAAACAGGAAATTGACACTGGTGTAAAGTCTGTGTATAGTCATATGTCATTTGTATAACACCACCAAAATCCGCATACAAAACTATTTCCTCACCATGAAGATCTCCTTCCTGCTACCCTGTTTCAGTCACACTGCACCATCCTAATCCCTGGCATCCACCGAGAATGTTATATAAATGGAATCATACATTATGAGACCTTTTCAGATTGGCTTATTTCACTCAGCCAAATTCCCTTGAGATCCGTCCAAGTTGTTGCATATATCAATGATTGATCCCTTTATGGATATACCACAGTTTGTTTAATCATTCACCTATTGAGAGACATTTTGGCCGTTTCTGGTTTTGGTTATTACATAAAGCTGCTATGAACAGTCAGGTACACAATTTTGTGTGAAATGAAGTTTTCATTTCCTGGAATAAATGCACAGGAGTGCAAATGTTGGGTCAAATGTTAATTTCATGCAGTTTAGCAGTAAACTGTTCACAGTAAACTGCTTAAGTATTTTCCAGAGTGGCTATACCATTTTACATTCCCACCAGCATGTATGAAGAGACCCAGTTTATCCACAGATCAGTGGATAAACAAAATGTCGTCTATTCATACAACATGTTATTATTCAGCCATAAAAAGTAATGAAGTACTGACACATGCTACAACATGGATGGATCTTGAAAATATTATGTGGAAAAAAAAAAAAAGGCACAAAAGGTCACATAATGTATGATTCTATTTATACAAAACGTCCAGAATAGGCAAATCCACAGAGACAGAAAGGAGATTAGTGGTTGCCAGGGGTTGGGGGAAGAGAGCAATGAGAGTAAGTACTTAATGCGTATGGGTTCTGTGGTGCGATGGGTGGCTTTTATACAGCCTTTTTCGCCATGGTTTTGTAACTCCAACCAAATGATGGGGTGGAACTGTGCAAATAAGGTATT